AGGAGGTCTGAATGACATTCTCATGCTATCAGAAAAGGAAAAGCAATATTGAGAAAACCTGACATTGAAAGAGAAGGAAAAGAATTTTAAACATTAAAACTGGTAAACAACTGTGGTACATCCACACATGGAGTATTATATAGCACCCAAAAGAAATCAGCTATGAAGCTGCAAAAAGACGTGGTGGAATTGCAACTGCACATTTACTCAGTGAAAGAATCCCATCCTGGAGTATCTACGTAATGAATGACACTGACTACATGACTCTAGAAAGAAGGCATAGGGGTAGTTAGATCAGAAGTCTCCAGGACCTCTGGAGCGAAGCAAGGAAAGAACAGGTAGAGTGCCCAGGAATTTTCATGTAGTAAACTCCTCTTGTGTAGGACATTTGGATGACAGACATGTCACTGTGCATCTGCACAGTTTACAATAGAGTTGTCCCACTTATATGGACTGTGGAATGGGTGAAACTAGCTAATTCAAATATGCAGCATCTCACATAGTTGCCACTTTTGTGGTGAGAACTTTTAGCATCCACTCTGTCAGGTTTTTCTTTTCTTTCTTTTTCCCCCAGAATACAATGTATCAACATTAACTAGAGTCAGCATGCTGAACAATAGACCCCTTGACTTCCTGCTATCTGTCTGTACTTTGTATTCCAAACCTGCATCTCCCCAAGTCCTCTACCCTCCCGGCCTCTGGTACAGCCATTCTTTTCTCTACCTCTAGGATACTATTATCCCTACCAGAGAAGCTGACTGCCCAGTCGACTGTTGCCAATTCCAGCTGCCCCTTGTGCCACTTTAATCAGAAATCTTCCACTAATAATTCTCATCACAGACCTCCAGGGCAGCATCAGGTAGCCCCTGAGAAGGATAATGTGACATTGTCATTTGTGTTACCTTTGTATTTTAAAATGCCCTGAGAGTGTTTGATCCTCAGCAAGCTATCAGAGTCAATGATTTTATGAGTGTGCAGAGGGTAATTTTCTAGGTCCTGAGCAGAGAAAAGTAAATATGAACATTTCTCTGCCATTCACAGATGAAGGCTCTGAGATCAAAGGCCCTGAGTGACGCGTCCACATCCCTGCAGATGATGCCAATATGATCTAGTTTTTGAAAAACAAGCCATGGTGTTTTAAATGTCTAAATTTATGACGTAAGGATACACAGTTACCTTGTATGAAGGAGATCAGAGAAAGAAAACTGTTAAATAGTGTTTGATTCTTTTGTGTTTTTCCTTTCCAGAAACTTCTCAGCAATGTTACCCACGTTGAAGCCTTATGTGAAAAAAAAAAAAAAATTCTAAACAAAATGTTTCCTTCCCTAATGAGATTTTGTTTTGGTATTTTATTGTCAGTGTGCTGGGAATTTTGAAATGTTCTCTGTGTATTTCTGATTCTGACCTAATAATCTCATTTGGATTTACCAGGCTCAGCAGCTGTTGTTTTTTTTATCGACTATTGCTAAGTCGTATTAAGGTCCAAAATTGAAAAACCCTTTCTCCTATGTTGGCCTAGATTATTCAGAGTTTTATAAAATTTAAGCCTTTCTCCAATGTTTGTAGTTTTTAATTTACTTATAAGAAAACCTAGAATAATGTTGATAAAATCCCAGGAAGGTGTTTTAGATAGGCTAAGCCTGTGCAGATCTTTCACAGAGTGGTTCTGAAGCCAGCAGTGCTGTTTGCAAATAGATACTCTGTAAATTCATCCATTCTCTTTTCTGCTAGAGGAAGAAGAGACCTCAATTCCTTGGTAATTTAAGTGGTGTTGGTGTATTGCACTAGGCATTTGCAGTTTAATGTTAATGATTGTGTGTAGCACAGCAGAATGCAAAGTTGAGAAATGAAAGCCTTTGAGAATGTCCTGGGAGAGCATAAACTCAGAATTCTAACCATTTTATTGGATGATTCTGCCATTTTACTTGGGGAAGAAATCACAAGTTGAATTTTGCCTTGCCTTTCAATTTATTTAATATAACAAGATTTTGTCTTACATAGCTGAAGAATATGCATCACTTCCTTTGTATTCTCTTGTTAAGGATCCCTCAGTTGTCTGCTATTATAACTTAGTTGTTTTGAGTCTGAGAAAGACACTGTGTATGCTTTTATACTTCTGTGAATTTACTTTGTCATGAATCCCATGCGATCTCTGTATTTATCATAGTCCCTTTTTTTCATTTGTGAAGTTTAATTTATTTTCTTCATACATTTAGCATCCAGAGCCATGGGATTCCTTGTTGTCTAGATACAGCCAATTATTTCTTCAAGTAATGGGGTACATCAATTACAAAACCATCTTTACATAAATAATCACATTTGATTCTGATAATTTACTGAGAGAGCATGGCTGCAGTTCATTACTATTTTACAAGTAGGCCCAGAGAAGCCACGTGATATACCCCAAATAGCATGTAAAGAGAAGGGTAGAACAAGAGCCCAGGCCTTTGAGCTCTTTGTTCAGTGTTCTTTCTACCTCATCACACTGTTGCATACCCTGTCTTGTGTCATTTCCTAAAACATTTCCACATAAGGAATTTGATCATTATGCTTAAAATTTTGTGCCACATTTTAACAAACTTTATAAAATCAAGTTGTTATCCATTAGTTTCCTTTCTTGCTAAGCATGAATTATTGCTCTGTATGTACAGTGAATGAGCAGAGAGGTCCCTGCTTTCCAGGCCAATCACATTGTGAGTGTCTTAAGAACACAAGAATAGCAACAAAGTAAAAAAATGAAGGAGATGGCCCTTGAAGGATGAGATAGGATTTGAAAGATAAAGAAAGTAGTCGAAGGGAAATTTATTTAGAGCAGAGGAAATATTTAAAGCAGGAAAGGATGTATGCAGTACTGGAAATAATCGTGGATGAAATGATCCATTCAAGATTCACTTCAAAACAAATGGAGTACAGTGTGGCATGAGTTGATTATTGTTAGAGCTGGATGAAGAGCATGTGGGGAATTCTCATGCTCTTATTTATGTTAGGAATTTTTCCCAATACAATTTTTAAAAATAAAAACGGCATATTGTATATTTTGTGGATAGTGGGTAGATGGTGCTCAAAGGCATAGGTGGGAAATGATGTTGAAAAGAGTCCAGAACCAGATTTGACAGGAGGCAGTTCATGAATGTATACCCAGGAGTCTTGGCAAGTCCTGGGAGGCATAAATTCATTGGTCCAACCTGAGAGTTTTGCTTGACCATGAGCTCAAGGTGGAGCTGCAGTCCAGCATGGCCTCATCAAAGATGGCCACACCCATTGTACCATCTACTCAGGCTCTCCCACATCTGGTGTACTGTGTTCAGTTCTGGAAGCACATTTAAAGAGGGCATTTTGCAAACTGTGCTTCATTGGTGGGTGCCACCAGTATATCAGGTACAGAGGATCATCTTACATCTTGGCCATCTTCTTTCTCTTAGACTCCATGAGCTTATGGTTTTCCACCTAGAACAGGCACGATTTTTCCTTCTTCCACATCCCTCTCCTGGTTTTTATTTTTTTCTAAACTTTTCCTCTTGGGAGCCTCAGAATAGGCAATAAAAGCATTACTATGATTCCCTGATGCCATGAAGGTGCATATGTATGAGGGCGACTAAGTTAACCTGGAAACAGACCTTCACAGCAGACTGAGTTATACACAGAAAACAGCACTGAACCATTTGGAAATCCTAACATTTTGGTGCAGCTTTCTGACGTGAAGTTCCCTCTCCCTTCCTGCTTAAATGTTTCTCTCCTGCTTAGCAGGAAAAAAAAAAAAAAAAAAAAGAAGGGAGAGAGACATGCCAGAGAAATTTGGATAGTTAATAACAGTAAGAAACTGTTAATTAATCATTAATATGCTAAAGCTAATACACATAGTGTTAGACCAGGACGCAAGAAAAGACCACTGACTCCAATTAAAATCAAATTAAAGCAAGCTTATTATTTCGACCGGCCGGGCTGCCTTTCCCTCCCGAAACGGTGGGAACAAAACAGCCGCCCCACCTTTCCTACAGCCCAACTTTATAGCCCAGAAAGTTACACAAAAGGGGGGTTACAGATAACAGAACTCTGACAAGCATCACACTAATGGTAGTTTACATTTTGTTTTTTTGCTGGCCCCAACATCAGAATTTATGAAGACCATTAGAGCCTCAGAGAGGGTCCTTGTCTGGCCAGGGAAGGCCAATATTTATGAGGTGTCACTAAAGTTTCAGAGAGGACTGCTATCTGGTCAGAGAGCCAGGCATTCCAAGCAGGTTCAGAATTTGCAGTAATTTATAGTAAAGCCGAAATTAGCTTTTCATGGCTTTGTGGCAAGATGGCTCCCAATTTTAATAAAAGATCAGGTTAGGTCTATCAATAGACTTATTGAAAATGGCTATATTTTTAGAAAATTTGCAAGCCAGGTGTTAAACACAATCATTAATAAATTATAAAAAATTTAAAATTACAGTATTAAAATACTCAAAAGTATTACTTCCTAATAATTTTAATATAATTTGCTGGCATCTAAACTTTTGGTGTTAATTGTGTCTAATGCATCTGTGGAATGAAAGCACTATTATATAATGGTTGTTGTGCCTCTCTTTTTAACACCATGTTCAGTGATATCAGCTTAGTAGTTTGAAATTGGCCTTGGTAGAGGTAATGGTCAATTTGAATTATTGGATTAAGAGATGCCAAAGATTAAGTGGCTTCTGGGTGTGTCAGTGAGGGTGTGTCTAGAATGATTGGCATGTGGGAGAGCAAACTGAAGTGGAGACCCTCCCTAAGCATGGGCAGCACCATCCAATAGGATGGTGGTTTGGATGGAATAAAAATTGGAGGAATAAGGAAGCTGCAGCAAATGCAAGCTCCTCCATTCCACAGATGCATCAGATAACAATTAACACCAAAAGTATAGATGCAAGAAAATTATAGTAAAATAATTAGGAAGTAATACAAATGGGTTCTTGGTTGCTGCTGTGATTGCCTGGTGATAATCAGACTCTTCCTCCTTCACTCTTACGAAGCAGACTCTGCCAGTGATTCTCCAGGGAGTTTCCAGAAGCATTCAGTCTTGGACTGGGGTAAGTACCACTGATCCCTCTTGTTCTGAGGCTTTAGCCTCTTGGACTGCACAGCTACTGGTTCCTCCAGTTCACTAGCTTGCAAACAGCCAGATGAACTATTCAACTTCAGGTCATGCAAGCCAATCTAAGAAATCCCCTTTTTATAAGCATACTTCCTGTTGATTCTGTTCTTCTAGAAAACCCTGACTAATACAGAAGTTGATACCAGGAGTGGTTCTAGAGAAACAGAATTATAAGGATGAGTTTCCTTAGTTGGTTTTGTGGTTTCTGGATTTGACTATCTAAATTGGTTAGGCCTCAGGTTGCCAGAGTCTCTCCTACTGGTACTATGGAGAGCAATGATAATCCATTGTGTGAACTGTTTGAAGAAGTATGTAAAGAAAATGCATTTGATACTCGCAGTTCGCCACTTGTAAAAAGCAAGGAGTTTAGTGACTCTATGTGATATCTTTGAACATTTCTGGAAAACTAAGAAATATGATGATGGATGTTGATTGATTCTAGCTTCACTGGACTAAGTAACAAAGAAGATTGATGAGCTCAGAAATTTAGTTTCAGCTGCAGATGCGCATAACTGATCTGAAAGCTGCTTAGTGTGTTCTGAAGGAGAAACCTCTCTCTTACAGTTGTGGGGCTGAGATTGTTGAAAACCAAACACAAACCCTTTTCCTGCAATTGCCTGAGTTAAGATGCAAGTTTAAGTCTCAGCCTCAAAAGGTGTCTGCCATTAAAGTGAGGTGCTACTTGGAAAAGAATGGGATCCCAGGCTGGGATTGTAGCTCAGTGGTTAAACACTTCCCTCTCATGTGTGAGGCACTGGGTTTGATCTGCAGCACCACGTAATAAATAAATAAATATCTTTCTTTATTTTAAATAAAGATAAATAAATATCTTTATTTTAAATAAATAAATAGATTATCCATCTACAACTAAAATAATATTAAAAAAAAAGAATGAGATCCTGCAAATGGGATGATGATGTCTGGGAGGAGCCTGATGGGGCTGGGATCATTGAACTCCCATTCTCTGATGAGTTTATTTTGCCAAAAGTTGTTGAGTCCCCACCCTTAGTCTTGACTGAGGCATCCCTACCCCACCCTCTGTGGAATTGGCTTTTCTATCCTCTCTGGAGGGAACTAATCCTGCTTTGTGCCTGATTCATTTGCTCAGCATGGAAATGTTGATTGTCCTTGGGACCCACCCTCACTACCCACTTTTGCCTCCTGGCCTATAACTGGATCCACATCTAAGAAGAACCCTAGAGGTGAGGAACAGAGTGTGACCCATGAGGTTTTAAGCTATACTCTGAAGGAACTTCTTGATTTTTCTAATTCATGCACACAGAGGTCTGGGGAACATGTATGGGAATGGATTTAAAGGGTGGGAGAGATTGATAGAAGAAACATAAAATTAGATCAGGATGAATTTATTAATGTTGCCCTATTAAGCATAGATTCTAGATTTAAAGTAAGAGCTCACTGTATTTAAAAAACTAAAAAGGTATTAATAGTTTGGATGGTTGGCTGAAGTACGAATCCAAGGATGGCCCACGGTGACAAGTTGGGAATGCCTGACACCCTTGTTTTACTGTTGATGAAGGAATTCAGAAGCTCAGAGAGATTGGAATGATAGAGTGGATCCGTCATGTACAATCTT